AAAGGGCATAGAAAGAGGAGAGGAAGGGAGATGCTATCTTAAACATGCCGAACCTACCAGCTCCACGGGAGGGAAACAAACACTACCTCTCTTCAAATTTGCCCCACAAGCCTGTGAACAGCCACAGAGCCTGCCTGGGACTATCTCGAAGGACGTCGGTTCCAGCTTTCTCTGATTTTACAGCCTCTGCAAATGGGCTTCAAAGCTCTTCCCCAAAGCAATTCCAGCAGGGCTGAGTGCCCGTGGCAGCCAAGGGCACCCTGGCTCTGAGTCCCAGGACTTGTTCATGACGATGCTGTTGGCCTTGAGTGGAGGCTTGCTGATTAGGACGCGGTGGGTGGGGAACGCAGCGGGCTCTGAAGATGAGTGAATTCATTACTGCGGGCTGTGCAGGAACCGCTCACATCAAAAGCCAGCAGCTCGAAGGCTCTTTGATCTCCAGCTCAGTACCCTTTCCAGTGGCTCCCTCTCTCCTGCCCAGAAAGTTCTTGCTTCTTCCTCCCTTGATTTCTGCGGAGAATTCTAATGAGCGACCTCCAGGCCGGTCCTCCCACCCAGCGGTCTGCAGGAGAGAGGTTGGAGCACAAGCCAGAAGCCACAGTCAGTTCCCTGAAGAGCAGCGGGACCGAAGCCCCTGTCCCCAGCCACACAAAGTGAGACTCAGCTTTCAGGAGCAACTCACGCCCCAGGAGACCTGCGCAAGGACACTCTCAGCGGCATCCCTGGGATCGGTCCCAGCTGCAAACCGCTCCAACAGCCAGCAGCCGCAGAATGGCTATTCTGTTATGTGTCCCAACGACGACACAGTATTCACTATGTAGCCAGGAAAGTGGCCGAACTCCATCTCTGCGGAACCACATGGAGGCCTCATACACACATGATACCCAGCTAAAGAAACCAGCAGGGAAATACTAGGTGGTGTATAATCCCGTTTCTATACATTGTAAAGCTTGCAAGGATAAATTACAGGGTTTCCAGATGAAGAGTTAGGTGGCCAAAGCGTAAAGAGAAGCAAAGAAACAACTGGCATTAAAAGCTGGAATCTAGAACAGTTATATTGATGAATCTATTTGCAAGGAAGGAAAAGAGACACAGATGTAGAGACTGGACTTGTGGACACAGTGAGGGAGGAGGAGAGTGAGAGAAACGGAGAAAGCGGCATCAACACAGACACCTTATCAGGTGCAAGATGAGTGACTGATGGGAACTCGCTGTGAGTCACGAGGAGCCCAGTCTGGCTCCTGGGATGACCTGGAGGGGGGAGATGGGGGAGCGCTGGGAGTCTAAGGAGGGAGGGGATGTATGTATATGGCTGTATACACACATATGTGTATGTATGTACATGTATATGGATGGATGGATGGATGGATATGTATATGGCAAATCAGCAAATTATGGCCACAACCAACACAACATTTAATTTTTTTTTTAATTTTTAAATTAAAAAAAAAGAAAGAAAACCCAGGAAGAACTGGGAATTCCCTGGTGGTCCAGTGGTTAGGATTCTGCACTTTCAGTGCTGAGGGCCCAGGTTCAATCCCTGGTCAGGGAACTAAGATTCCCACAAGCTGCCTGGGAAAAAAAAAAAAAAAGTGAGTTCCTGCTGGCTGTAAAAAAAAAAAAGCCAGGGAAGGGGGAGGAGTGTGACCAACCGGGGTCTGTGTTTCTGGGAGTCAGGCATGGTCTACTTCTTGATCCCTACAGTGGTTTCCTGGGTATTCCCTTCTTTATGTTCTATTGTTTTTCCCTTCTGATCTTTTCAGTGACTGTATCACACAGTTTTAATAAAAGGGCTTCACAAAAGCAAAGCCTGAGAAATTCAAGACTAGCTCGGGGAACTGGGGTTTCGAAATAAAAAAAAGCAAAGTCTGCTCAGCTGCTGTGATGCCTAATAAAGCTGCAAAGGCGGCCCAAACCCGCAGGCTGTCAGATGCACCAAGAGCGAGCGTGATGCGAGCTGTGGAGATGAATCCCTGCATGAAGGTTTCACAGAAAAGAAGTCTGTCCTTGGCCGCCCACCCTTCGCAGCCCCAGCCTGGGGCTCGGCGGCTCAGAGAGGCTGGGGGAGGCCCGCCTCTCCCCGGGAAGCTGCCTGGCCCGGCTCCGTCACTCCTGACGCCAGAAATCCTGGCGGAAGAACAGGCTCCACGGTGCCTGAAGAGGAGGCTATCGCGCCGCCGGGAGACAAATCCCTGCGGAGTCTGTGCTTCCCGCGGGGAAAACGCTGCTCTCCTCTCCGGGGCCTGCGGGCAGACCGAGCCCCGGGGCGCCCGGCGTGCCCGGCGTGCGACCGCGGGGATTCCTGCCCGTCATCCTCAGGCTCCGGCCGTGGGGTGTGCTTGCCATCAGACTGGATCATCCAGCTGTTTAGCGGCGTCGCAGACAAAACGAATCAGATGAAGGTCGCTGACCCCAAGTGCACCCGACTGGCCCCAAGCGGCTTTGACTTCATGGCAAAGAGGGGGGCGCCCTGACGCCTGTGTCCTTATCCCTAGGTTAGGGATGTCATCAGGTCGTGAGGGTAGACTGCCCCGTCCTCAGAGAAGCAGAAAAAGTCCTTCTGTTCTTTTTCCCTTCACAGCCAATTTAGAGTCTGCTCCTGCCGTAACAGGAGAAGCAGGGCAGGCTTTGATCTGGGGAGGGCCACCGCGGGCCTCGGACGGCGCCGGCCTGCGCGGAGACACACGCGGCCCAGGCCGGCCGTCTCACTGCACCTTCAGCGGCGGGCCTCTGGCGGCCACCCCTCCCGCCTATGCTGTGACCACCTGTGAACTCCCACTTGCCTTATCCCCTGCGTCCCTGGGCACAGGCTCCGGAGCACACGCCCTGTGCCTGGCACGGCGCCCCTGCAGTCATTGGTCCCTCTAAGTGTTTGCAGAGTGGAAGGGAGAGAATCAGCAGGCGCGAATCTCAAAACCATGCGGTTCCTACAGTAGGCGCCTAGTGCATACTCAGCGTACATTCTCACAGCCAGTCTCTGCAGTCAGTGTTGACATCCCCACGTTCAGACTGACTCGAAACTCTCAGAGCCGCAGTTCCTACACTTTTTGGCACCAGGGACCAGTTTCATAGAAGACAGTTTCTCCACATACGGGGTGGTGGGGGTGGCTTTAGTACGATTCCCATAAGGAGTAGGCAACCTAGTTCATGCATGCGCTGGGCACAGTTGGGTCGGAGCACCTGTGAGAATCTAATGCTTCCACTCATCTGCCGGGAGGTGTTCATGCATGCGCTGGGCACAGTTGGGTCGGAGCACCTATGAGAATCTGATGCCTCCACTCATCTGCCGGGAGGCGGAGCTCAGGCGACATGAGAACGTGAACAGCGGATGGAGGTACAGATGAGGGTCTGCGGACGCTCCCACCTGCTGCTCAGCTCCTGCCGTGTGGCCCGGTTCCTGACATGCCAAGGACCGGAACCTGGGTTGGAGACTCCTGTCTTAGAGGACTTGCCCAAGGTCACTCAGCCAGCCAGAGTCCAATCTAGACTGGAGTCTAAGGCTGTTGTTCTGTCAGGCCCTTCCCTTCTGTCTCCATGAATGAGTGGGTGAATGGCGTTGATGTCTATAAGACCCTTGAGTCCCCCACGAGCTACTAACACTGCTTCCCAGCAACCCTCCCCTGAGGCTCAGAGGGCATTTTTCATCGGTGCTGCAAGCAGAACGAACCCAAAGACAGCAGAGAAGTGGCCTTGGCACAATTCTGTGAGCTACTTTCTCTGCCCACATCACTACCAAGGCTAAAGCGAATGCCACTTCTCTATTTGTGCTTGCTCTGTCCTTAAGCGTGACCATGCTCACAAGTGTTAAGCCAACTCCTGAACTCACCCAGGTCTGTTCTTTGGGTTGTCTGCCCCATCACCTACCTGCCGATGCCTGCTCATCCATCAAAACCCAGGTCCTGCAGGGAACCTCTCCTGGCTCCCTCAACAGAGCCACTCGCTGGCTCTTCAGCCCGTGAGGACTCAGGGGTCACCAGACAGACTGGAGGCTGCAGTAATTGAGAGTCCCTCCCCACGAGGAACAGCAGGTCAAAACGGGAGGACAAGAACACAGACCCCGAGGATACAACATGCACATCCCGATGTGGCGTAACGGCGGAGCTATAGTGGTGTCGTATTGTTGTCAGAAAAACATGATCTGACTATGGTCACGCTCAGTAGCTCAGTCGTGTCTGACTCTTTGTGACCCCATGGACTGTGGACAAGCCTTGACCGTAAGATTTTTCAGGCAAGAATATTGGAGTGGGTTGCCATTTCCTCCTCCAGGGGATCTTCCTGACCCAGGGATGAAACTCAGGTCTCCTGAATCTCCTTCATTGGCAGGCTGATTCTTTACCACTTTCATCACCTGGGATGGTTAAGTCTCTAGATCTAACTGCCAATTGACAGGAATGCAGGTAATAAAAAGACATAGTAAAAACACTCCAAGAGTGGAATCAGCCAAAACTGATTGTGGAAACAAAACAATTGAGCTGATTTCATCAACAAATACATAGGGATGGTGCAGGGTGGGAAAGGAAGTGATGGGAAATTAAACTTAAGAACTTCTTTTTAAAAAATGTATTTGTAATTTGCAGTATTGATGGGGGGGGGTATTCTTGGATTGCAGGAATTATTGTCAGAGTGTGATTTTGTGTTTTTATTTTATAGAATCACCTAATGTGATATACCAATTTTTATATAAATGACATTTAGATAATTCTAATAACTGTATATTTGACAACTATTAAAATGTTTTACATTAAAAAGGAAACTTAAGAAACCTATCAATCAAATGCAACCATTGACCTAACTTTAAAAATGAAAATTATTTCAAAAAGACATTTTTGAGATAACTGGAGAAAAAATAAACACAACCCAGACATTAGATGAGAGTAGAGAATTATTGTTAACTTTGTTGGGTGGGACCAGAGTTTTGCAGCAACATTTTTCCAAAAGTCCTTACCTTTTAGAGATGGATCCTGAGGTATTAGTGAATGAAATGATACAACATCTCAGATTTGCCTTAAATTTCTCTCTCATGAAAAATAACTGTGGGGAGAGATGAAACCAGAATAGAAAATGTTGATAATTGTTGAAGCAGGGAAGGACTGTTGTTACACTCTTCTTTCTACTTGCATATATGTTTAACATTTTCATACTAAATGGTTAGATTTTTTTGTTTTGGCCGTGCCCTGCAGCTTGTGGGATCTTAGTTCCCTGACCGAGGATCAAACTGGCACCCTTTGCATTGGAAGTTCAGAGTCTTAACCACTGGACCATCCGGGAAGTCCAAGCGCTAGATTTTTTAACGTACAGATGGCATGTTAAGCACACTAGCATGTCCACGAAGTACACTTACCGTGGAAAAAGGCTGAGGCCACAGAGGAGCAGAAAGGAAGGGGTTCTAAACTCGCCTGAAGTGGTTGGGGACAGCTAGACTCTCCACCAGGGAACTCTGCCGACACACCACCCTTCTGCTTTCTCATGCGCACATAAGAGATGTCACCAATTTATCTTTGAGACCCCAGGACCCAGTATAGTATAGCACCCAGCAGCTGCTAAATAAAAGTTATTGAATGACTGACTTATAATCCTCCAAAGGCCCCTCTGGTGTTCCCATGGACGCAGCAGTGGCAGCAGACACCGTATGTCGTACTGGACTTGAAGGACACAGAAAGAAAACAGTCTCTACTCCCAAAGGAAAACAAGAAACGGCCTGCAAAAGGGGCTCAGCGCGCTCAGGGCTGAGTGAACGGCATGAGATGCTGAGCAGGGCCCCTCTGCAGGGCTCATGTGAGGATTCGTGCATGGGATGGCTCGCAGAGGCGCAAAGAGGGATCCGGGCGCGCACAAATGAGGACCATCGGAAATGCTGGTGGTGGGAAAATGAAGGAAGGAATAGGAGGATGTGGAGAGACCTACCCCACTGTGAGGAAGTGTGTAGACCAGAATGGTGGCATCCCCAAGACGCTTCCCCGGGCCATCAAAGCGCACGAGGATTCTTCCGTCATCACTGCCAGGGGCCTGGTGAAGGGCACGCTGAAAGGATCACATTCACAGATGAAAGGGGGCCTGGTAAAGACTTGGGTTTTTTGCCAGTGCAAGGCGTGCAGAGAGGAGGCAGAGAGGATGAAAATGCATCACACGGTCCTTGGGCCAATACACCCTCTCTCCCTACGCTGGCTGCCTGTGGGATCCCCAAAATCCCTTTCCTTCTCTGAATATCTCAAGAAAACCAAATGGAAAGATTCCATCTGAATATCGTTTAGGTTTTCTCTGCATGAGCAAGACATGCCCAGCCAAGACTGAGAAGGGACCCCAAGCCTTTCCTCAGGGCTGGGGGAAGCTACTTCAGGCTGACCACCAGCGTCTTTCTGCTCTCTTTAGAGCCTTCGAGGGAGCAGCTTTCCCAGACTGAGCCTCTTAATGCTTGGATGCAACCTGGAGATGGGCAGGGAAACCTCAGGAATAACTTACCAACCCAGCAGGATACAGGCCCAAAAGTAAAATTAAGGTGATTTCTATCAATAGAAAGACTTCCCTGGTGGCTCAGCTGGTAAAGAATCCGGCTGTAATGCCGGAGACCTGGGTTCAATCCCTGGGTTGGGAAGATTCCCTGGAGAAGGGAAAGCTTACCCACTCCAATATTCTGGCCTGGAGAATTCCATGGACTGTATAGTCCATGGGGTTGCAAAGAGTTAGACATGACTGAGTGACTCTCATATATCAATATAAAAATTTATACGGTCCTGTTTCTTGCACATCTGAGTCTGTGGATTGAGATTTATGACCCCCACCTAAGGAACAGACCCTTTTCAGGTCAGCTTAAATAGGAAAAGGGGTTAATGGAAGAATACATGGAAATCTAGAACTCTCCATTGGGCAGGGCCAGGCTTCAAGAGAGGTTAAAACCAGGTCCAGAAGCCATCAGGAGCAAAAGCATCATCTCCGTGTCTCTGTCTCCCTGCCTCTCTTTCACTGTCCTTTCATCTCTTCACTCTCTCTCTTTTAATATCACTGGAGCACAGTTGATTCACAATGTTGTGTTATCTTCAGGGATGCAGCAAAGTGATTCAGTAACACATATACATATATCCACTCTCGTTCGGATTCTTTTCTCATGTAGGTTGAATATTCTCACAGAGCATTGAGTAGAGCTCCATGTGCTATACAGTAGGTCCTATTGGCTATCTGTCTTATGCCGGGTTGGCCGAAAAGTTCATTCCATAACATTTAATGGAAAAATCCAAACCAACTTTTTGGCCACTTCAATATACAATAGTGTATATATATTAATCCAAACTCTTCTCTCCTGTCCTCTAAATACCAACTTCCCCTATTCACAACATACAATAGTGTATATATATTAATCCCAACTCTTCTCTCCTGCTCTCTAAATACTAACTTCCCCTATTCACAACATACAATAGTGTATATATGTTAACCCCAGCTCTTCTCTCTTGCTCTCTGAATACTAACTTCCCCTACTCACTTGCATACACATAGGCCAAACATGGCTGCCAAGTCTGATTTTTTTGTTGTTTCCAAAAGCAAACAAACAAAAACAATTTTAATGACTACAATAATATTGTTTGACATTTTGCAAATCCCTTTAGCAGTTTTGCTTAATAGACGATCACTGAATCCCTATCTCTGCGGCATTACATGGTTTGGTTGAAGCATACGAGACAATTCAGTCTCACAGAGACATGCAGCTAAAAAAGAGTGGCGTATCTTAACAGGCTTTTCCAATGACTGTGGGTAACCTTTGGTAACTATGCCAAAACTCAGTGAACAGTAGTTTCCTAAAGTTTAGAGGCAGTGTGGTATCCGAAATTATATCAATGAACCTTTCTTATTGTTACATTTCAATCCACTATTCTATCCACTTACCCATGTCATTGTTATTTGGAAAATATGGATTTATTGAGGTCTGCATATCTTCCAAATGTTGACACATTTCATATAAATATGTACTTTTAAACCACATTTGTTAATGTCATCACCAATCCCTCCAGAATACTTTTAAGTTTTGAAAAGCTGTCAAGATCATGGTGGTAGTTACAAGTTTCTTGAGATTTTAGTTTTCATTTGGAAGCTCAAGTTTTATCATTGGCAAAAGAAATGCTGTTGGTTATTTTCCTTGAAGCGACAGGAACACTTCATTCATTTTTCAAGAAAATGTCTGCCAAATACGCAGGGCTGAGAAACCACAGTTTGTTCTCTCAAGTAAGAAGTTTTCCTTTAAAAAAAATTTTTTTTTTAATGTGCTTGGTTCACAGCTCAAACAATTACATGTGTGGTTTTCCTCTAGACGGCTGCCTACTTCAGGATGCAGTAAAAGTGCTATATCACACAGAATATTAAAAAGAAGTGTACTTCAGAGTCAAAAGTTAATGAAATTAGTAAAATTTTTTTTTACCATTTCATCAAGAACACTCTTAAGTGAAACTGGTTTTTGCTTTTCTTTTTTTCTTCTTTTACATGAGTGCCCAATGTTAAAATATATAATGACTACATTTGAGTGCCACTGACCTGGTTCATGCTAAGATGCTAACTTTTTTGTTTTTTATACCATCAGTGAAAAAAAGAAAGCATAATTTTAAAAAGCAAATAACCTCTTAGCATCATTATGAAAGTCATTTTGACTTTATAGACCCCGTGAAGGGGCCTCAGGGACCCCCAGGGACCCCCAGGGATCCAGAGACCACATTTTGAGAGCTAACATCTAAGCCATTCAAATTCAAGCAATTAATAAACTCCCTGGGTCCCAATTTCCTATTCCAGGGAGAGGAAATCTGAGTGAGGTGCCTGCTGCTAGCCCTCAGTGTAGCCAGCCATGCGCTCATGGGGTCAGTTGTCTGCTTAGCAATGATCACGGGACCAGAGAGTCTGAGAAGAGAGACACAAGGCTGGCAGAGCTGAGCTTCAGAAAGGGGTGAGGATAAGGGCCCCATGAACTGGAAAAACAAAGAGACGGAATGGTGAGGGAATTCAGCAGGAGTATATCTTGGAACTTGACCAGATAGCTTTTAACAACTGAAGTATATACGAAGGTTTACAGATTCCGAAGTGGTTTCACACACATTACCTCATTTAATCCCTCCAACAGCTTCGTGAGATGAACCTGAGAACAGCCTCTTACAAGTGAGGAAACAGTAGCTGAGAGACGTCAAGGAACTTGCATGGTCTTCTGACAAAGAAGTGACAGAACTTAAGGTCTTCAGACTTGAAGGGAAGGGCTCACTCACCCAGGGCCAGCTGCCTGCCGTGTAGTCATTCCCTAGGTGACCAGCAAGATGTGCTCAAGCCTGTGGCGAAGGACTTGGATGGGGATCCTGCACCTGGGGAGAGGGCGGGTGAAAGAGAATTTCCAGCTCCCTGCCTAGAGCCGGAGAGTCAGGCATCCTTAACTTTCTTGAACTCGGGACAATCGAGGGCTGCAAGGACACTGTGGACCGACTTCCCACCCATATGGGCTACCTCCCCCATGTATATATGGGTTAACTCCCCCATCCATATGGGCTACCTCCCCCATATGGGCTGACTCCTCCATATATATATATAGGCTGCCTCCCCCATCCATATGTGCTGACTCCCCATATGGAGTGCTACTGGCCACTCCTTCAGCTCTTATGGGAACGAGCCTGCCTTCCACATAGGGCTCACTGACAGTCAAGTACTTCCTCCTGTGGGAAAAGAAACTGCTTTCGAAAAACAAAATGTGAAAGGATGTATTACTTACTAACTGTCTGATGTGAATTCTTGTATTCAGACCAGAAATTAAAATATACAGTTTGCTACATTATAAACACTTTTTTTTCCCCTACAGTCAACCAGCTGGTGGACGTTCTCCATGAGAAAGAGCCTTCAGGTCTAAACAGAGAGCCATCCGCTTAGGGAATCTGGCTTTGATCCTTTCTCTGACACGAGCCAGTTTCCTCTAACCCCTCTCATCCAGTATCAGTTTTTAGGATATTATTCCAAAGGGGCTGAGCCCAGAGGAAATGAAGATTAAAGTGATAAAGAAAACCAATAGCATGCTTTTTAAATACACAGGCTAAGCGTGGCTTTTCATGAGAAGGTCCAGGCTGAGGTTTAAAGCAAAGCCAGTGAGACCTCACTGTGGAGGACAGCAGGCTGTTATCAACACCCTCAGGACAAGGTGCCCGGTCCGCTGGTCACTCGTGCTCAACCCCTGGTCCTGGAAGATCCACTGGAGAAGGAAATGGCACCCACTCCAACATGCTTGCCTGGAGAAGCCCAGCTCTCGTTAAATTTCTGTTGACAACCCGACACCACTGATGACCCCATTGCGTCCGACTCCTTTTTGCTTTTATTTGAACTGTATCAGTTTTGTTCTCTTTTTTCATTCCTTCTCACGTTCTAATGATTTAAAAAAATAACAATTTTGAAAGGCAACTCATTCCAACTTAGTTTGAGCAAGTTGCGAGGATGAAAATTTAGAAAGAGGAGGAAAGAATCTCAAAACCCAAAGATTTCTGCTTTATTAAGAAGATTTTTAAAAATCTGCTCATCTAGTTCCCTTCCTTGTTAAACAGAGGATGTCCTCTCCATGACAAATTGATGTCCCTTTTTTAGGGGAGAAAGAATAAATAATCTAATAATGACAGTTTAGTTCCCATTTGACATTCACTAACCATGAGTCTGTTGCATTTGAGGTTTCCCACAACAGATTAGCAAGATGGCACCAAAGCTGGGACAAATTACCATGCAAATTACCATCACAAATTAAATTCTATTACTTTGTGAAAATAAATCTAACTAAGTTCTGACCCAGAGAGTTAAAGTGCCAGGGACAGGAAGGATGGAGGAGAGGGGAAGTAGAGAGTGGTTATGAGTGTGACCACACCATTACATTTCAATATTTTAGAAAAGCTACAGAGTATTTGGGATGTCTGGAGGAATTTTGTGTCTTGCCTCTAGGCTTTCAACAAAGCATTACTTCAGCAGAATAGAGCCTTGAAGTTCAGGATAAGGATTAACAAAAGGATGGGTCTTCTTGGGCCAGCTTTAGCTGAAATATGAAGAAATGCACAAAAGAACAAAGGTTTCGGGGATGGGGAGTGCAATATTTGCTGTGGTTCTGTAGAGCAAGGGTCCCCAACCTCCAGGATCTAATGCATGATAATCTGAGNAGTACTTTACTGAACAAAGCTGTATAAAAGGAAAAAGGAGCCCAGGCAGGAGTGCTAGTTTTTAAAAACCAATTTTTGCAGCCTTGTTTCTACCCATCTTTCATCCCTCTTACATCTCTCCTCCCTCTTTATTCTTTCTGAGCGCCTGCTGGGTTTGCTCAAGGTATATGAACTGCTGTGAGGTTTCTGCACCTTTTCTATCTTTGGAAGCCTCCAGTTAAGCATTTCCCAATGCCCTGATGCTTCACCGCCTGCCCATGCCTGTGTTATCCTCCCAGCTGCCTGGGAACAACCCTGTTTTGCAAGTTACCACATGTGAACGAGCTGGAGTTTTGCTAGGATGTTTTGAAATGATGAAACTGATCTGTCCCCCAAGGAGACTGACTCAGCAAAGATCATTACAAAGACTCCACATCTTATGATCGTGGGAAAGAGAAATTAGAGTTGGGATTAATTTGGAAGATTCCACTTTTCAGTATTGCACAAGTGGTGCTGAGATATTTTGAAGAAGTCATGAGAAAATAGGATATCTTCCTTAAATTTAAATGTGCATACTGTATAATATACTTATTAAGTCTGAACAGACATGAAAGCTTAGCACTTAATCACTCACCTTCAAAGTAGACTACAAACTTGATATAATTAATCTGAACCCACACCCCAATAGAGAAATCAGTATTACCAATCCACATACATTTTCAAATGGAAAAATTTAGCCACCGTAAGTTTTCAAAAATTGTCCAAAGAAAATCAGCATGAATTAGCAGGTGTGACTTGAAGAGAAACAGCACCAGACAAAGGATAATGGAGAGGGGAAAACAAAAATGCATGAGATACATGCAGAAAAAAGTCATTTTGAAATCTAATAACTATTCCCTCTGGAAGGGAATATAAGACCAGCTTTTAAACAACTATAAGACCAAGTTTTCTTCATAGAATATTCTACTTTGAAATTGATAATATACAAATGAACCAAATTGGGCCAGTGTTTTCAAAAAGACAAAGTTTCCTTCTTGAAAATTGCATCAGTCTTTGCAATAAAAATATATATTTATTATTGCAAGAGGAATATGCTACAGTAATTAATGATGGTTATGAAAGATGCTAATTTTATATGAAAATTAATAAGAACTTTTCAACAGTTAAATATGGAGGGAAATAGATGGACAGTTAATACAACTACAAGAGTGCATTTGTGGACAGTTGCAGGAAGAATAGACTTTTATTGAGTCAATAAATGTAAATCCTTATGAAAATAATAATGTAGTCAAAATAGAGAGATTAGATTGTACCCTAATTTTAATGCTTTTGCTGTTATTTGTATACTAGTACAAAACAAAACGGGCTTCCCTGGTGGCTCAGCAAAAAGAATCCACCTGCCAATGCAGGAGATGCGGGTTCGAGCCCTGGGTTGGGAAGATTCCCTGGAGAAGGAGATGGCAACCCCCTCCAGCTTTCTTGCCGGGGAAATCCCATGGCAGAGGAGCCTGGTGGACGATAGTCCTGCGGTCACGAAAGAGTCGGACAGGGCTCAGCGACTGAACAACCACAAGACATTAGATACAACAAGCCTTAAGAACTCAAAAAAATGTTCTTGAGAATAACCTGTACTACTAGCCCATATTGCCGGAGATTTTCTTTCCTTCTTCATCCAAAACACTGTCTTTTTCTCCTTGTTCTCCTTACAGTACTGTACTAGAATAGTTATTAGAGACATTATAAGCCCATGCTAAGAGGGGAACTAAGAATCAGATGAAAGTGAGTTCAGAAGCTGGTTCTGGGACTTTCCTGGCAGTTCAGTGGCTAAGGCTTTGCCTTCCAATGCAGGGGATTCTAGTTCAATCCCTGGCTGGGGAGCTAAGATCCCACATGCCTTGTGGCCAAAAAAAAAAAAAAAAACCAGCAAAACCCATAAAACAGAAGTAATATTGTAACAGATTCAATAAAGGCTTTTAAGAAATGGTCTGCATCAAAACAAAAAAAAAAAATCTTAAAAAACTGGTTCCACTGCCATGCTGAAGACGGGAAAATTCCTAATTTTCTAAAATTGCTTCTTCATCTGTAAAATGGGATGATAAAAGTACCTACCTCTTAGGATTACAGCAACATAAACTCATAAAGTGTTTAATATGCTGTATGTTCTCAATAAACATATGGCATGTATGTTCTCAGTAAATGGTAATAATTAACGTAATTCTCTTTGAAAGCAAAAAATCCCAGCTTCTCAAAAAAAAAATCAGTGTCAGCAGCCAAAACATAAACTGAGGGATCTGAAGGGTCAGCCTCCAACAGCTTATTTCCCTCTCCCACGTATGGAGCTAACTGAGGTGTAGACACAGAGGTCAGATGGAGAAGTCGACGGTGGGAGATCAGATGAAGGGCGGATGGAGGTCGGAACATGCACTGAACGACTGACGCGGGTGGGGAAGAGTCAGACTTGGCCTTGGTGTGTGCTCGCAGGAAGTTTGTACGGTTTACCTCCAACAGAGCACAGCTAGACCCCCAGAGGCCTTCCCTCAAGGATAAACCTTAAGACAAGACAGAGGCAGGAGAGGCAGGAAATTCTCTAAAAGAGAAAGGAAGGAGCTGTACAGAACACACTCAGTTTTTCCTCTCTGGGATGGGGAAAGCCAGGGGTGTAACTAGCTGGTTACTCCGCAAGGAAAAATCAACAATTGAGAGAATGTTCTTATTGTACCCTATTCCCAACAGGAAGATTTCTTTGTTTTGTTTTGTTTTGTTAATTTATTTATTTAGCTGTGCTGAGTCTTAGTTGCAGCCTGTGGGATCTAGTCCCCTGACCAGGGATCGAACTCAGAACCCCTGCCTTGGGGAGCTCAGAATCTAGCCACTGGACACCAGAGAAGTCCCAGAAAATCTTTTCTTATTGAGGTTGCCCTCCAAAAACCCTTCAGTTGCCCTCTTTCTCCAAGCAAGCCTTCCTCCATACAGTTCTCCCTTGGTTGCCTCTTCTCCTCCATAGTATAGTTCTCTGAGTTTACTCCCCAGTTTCAGCGCTGCACTCCCAAACTCTGCCCCCTGCATTCTGTACCAGCCCAGGAATCACACAAAGAGGCTCCGGTTCAAAGCCTTTCATTTGCATAGTTCTTTGTACACAATCCTTCCTCGTCACAGAAAAACTCAATTTAGAAGAACATAATGACAGTAAGAGTGTATCAAAAAGA